TTTTTCTAGTCGGGGTGTCAGTATGTGTTTAGCGTTGATAATGGTAACATTGTTTCCGAAATACGTATCCGCGACTTTTTATTAATTTTTTTTGTGGCTTTTGAGTTTAATATTTTTAACATTTTTTAGTTTTTTTAAATTAATAATATTTTTAATATAGTTTTAATTTTACTTAATTAATTAGCCACAAGTGATCAATTTTTATTATATAATATTTTTAAATCTATAAGAATATTTATATTGTCATTTTATATCCCTTTAATCACACCCCAAATCAAAAGTAACTCTCACTCTAATCCTTACTTAAATTCACTCAACAATATAAACTCTTTCAATCTTTTTCTTTTATTAATTTTTAAGTTATGACACAACTCTTCTGGGTGTCTCAGGGCACGTCCAACCTTTTTCCAACGTATTACTCTAATCATATCAATAATTGTGCGATTTTCTCCCAGAGCTCTAAGCACTTCTTCATTTGTTTTCCGCTCTATCCAACCTATCTATACGCCTCCAACACCACATCTAGAAGTTTTCTAATTTTTTCTTTTTGGTATCATTTATTATACAAGTTTCACATCCATATGTTGCAACATTCCATACATATGTTTTTATAAATCTCTTCTTGATATTGAGATGTAACTTTATTGAAGTGAGCAACTTATGTTTTTTTACTAATGGTAGCTTTTGATAATGTTATGCGTTGTTTTATCTCTCGGACGCTCTTACCAACAGATGTAATTTTGATCCCTAGGTATACCATTTCCTCTACTTGCTCCAGTTTATGACTATCTATGTATACATTAGCTTTTACTTGAATTTCTTCAACTACACGCTATATATCACCTTCNGAATTTCTTCAACTACACGCTATATATCACCTTCACTCTCTGCTCTCTCAGTTCGTTTAACACAATTTTTGTGTGACTTTTTGAGTTATATATTCTAGTCATAAATCAATATTTTTAATAGAATTTTAGTTTAATATTCAATAGTAATAAATTTTTATTATATTTTTTTTATTTTATTAATGAATGAAATAAAGTCGAGTCTCACATAATTTTTAACATTTGTTAAGTAAATTTAACAATTTACAAGATTTTAATGATNATATTAAAATACATACATATGGCTTTATTGAATCATAAAACCAAGGAAATTTTAAAAATGTAAAATAGTATTCATTTTACATATAAAAAATAATATATTAGTTTACAAATTTACTAAAATATAAATCATAGTCAGTTTTAAAAAAATCTTCACAAATTTGTATTAAATCTGAACTTATACTAAGAAATATTAAATTATTATCGATATTTTGATATGACTTTATTAATTCAAATTTATTTATCAATGGTTTGTCAAGAACACAATAGTTATTAAGGAATTGATTGAATTTAGTAAGTGAAAATAAATGGCTCACACCTATTTGACTTTGATGGGTGTTTTCCAAAAATTCTTTTGCATTTGTTGCATTAGTTTCAAAATTTAAAATAATATTTAGGTTTTTTAAAATATAATTATATTCTAATGCAATTTTCACTACATTTTTAAAACATGATTGCGATTTTATCATAAAATCTCCAATGGATGCTTTTTTTAACAAGGCCAAAATTTCTAATAAACGATTGATCATAGTTGTAACTGATGGTAATGTAGTTTTCAAGGAATTTACACAAGTAATCAAATTATTATGAAGTTTATTTTTTTGTTCTGCCATGCATAAATGTTGTATAGCATTTAAATAGTTATTAACGCGTCTTAATAATTCACTATACCTACACTTTAATATGTGTGCAACTTCTTGCTTTCTTTTAAAGAAATTGATTGGATTTTCTTCATCATACTGTATTTTCTTTAAATCTTTAATTTGACCGTTTACCAAAATTTTCGTATTAATTAACAATTGGTTATTAGTCACGTTAAATAGTGTATTTATAACACTAACTGCGAGATCTTCAGATGTGTCATCATAGAATGGCGATACAAGTCTATGAATACAAAATACAAAATAAAGAGTTAATGATTAATTGGAATAAAATCTATAAATATTTCCAAAAGGTAATTTGTCAATTGTACCAATATTTTTATTTATATATAAAAAAAGTAGCAATAATAGCGTGCCATGAAGTTCTAAAATTCGGCCATGTTGTAGTCATGTTTGAGTTATCTGTGAAGTTGATGCCATGTATAATAGAGCAAAATTGGTAAATAAACGTTACCAAAAGAATTTTTAATGATATAAAAAATAGCGGTTAAAATTGAAGATTATAATTTATAAAGTTGTTTGTGTTAAAGTATTAACACAAATTTTATATTTTTAAATGCCTACTAGCGTTGTACAAAGTTTTAAAATCTATTATGTTGGAAAGTAATTAATGCATAATGATAAAGCCTAATAATCGTAATGTTCATTTAGCGATGGTAAATAAACTCCATACAGTGTCGGCTTCAACCAGTTATAAGGTGAATATGGCATACGGCTTTCTAGTGTTATTATGTATCTCTGGTTGAACTTGACTCCGTACAATAGATCATTCCCAAATAATTAATAATTTTGGTTCATTAAAAAAGTAAATTACAGTGAATCTAGAAAGTGCATGTTCTCAATATGTCAAATTATATGGAATGCTTTGGAAAAAATGCTAGTCAGTTATACAGTAATATAAAATTGAATAGTTGTAGAATTGTTTGCTTATTAAAAATGTAGAAGGTACATTTTATTTGACCCTACATTGATTTATTAGCTAATAATTATATATTAGAACCATATCTCATAATTTAATGAGTATCGTATGATCTTGCTGTAGTTAATACTTATTTTAGAACGAGGGAAGAACATTATATAACTCATAAGATTGGGAGGAATAGATCACAGATTGGTTATTTTATGTGGAAGAGAGATGCTTAGATAGATGAGTGGAGTGATTAGAGAAGATCGTGGATAAGATGAGGAAAAATAGACTTAGATGGTTTGGTCGTGTTATTGAATGCGATATCGGCCAGTCAATTTCTTAGTTTCTATTTTATAAGCTAGTTCAAAATGTGTGTTACCATTTCAAAAAATAGTTGACTCTCCAATACGTTATAAGGAATGATTCTATAAAATAATTTATGGTTAATAAATCAACAAATTTATGTAACAAAATAAGCAACATATTTTTTATACAACATTATATTCATTTTTAGAGTAATCATGTGTTTTAAATTAAACTTATCAACCTAAATGTAGGTTAATATGATATTAGGCTGATAGAAACACAATTCCGTAAAAAAAATAATAATATACTTTACTCTGGTGTTATCGGATGTAGTAAGTTATGAAAACCCAAATTGATGTACTCATGCTTGAATGCTTCATCATAAAATACTTTGAGATTATTACATAATTGGACATAATCTAAACACGAAATTGAATCGTTATCGTGTTCCATTGCATCATCACTTTTTAATTCATCTTGGAAACTATTGTACTTATTGTTTTTAATAGAAGTAAATGAAATCATCGAAGATATAATGTTATGAAATTTTTTTACATTTTCAAAATCCTTAATAACCATTTCAACTTTAGGATTAGCGTTGTTATCGATGTACTCATTCATGTCCAATTTTCTTTTCAATCGAATGCGATCATTAATAAAAGAAATTTCATTAATAATGTTTTTTTTTTTTCTATACATTTTTAATACGTAATTCATATGTAAATTACTAAAGAATTGTATGACATTTTTAAGATTTTCAAATAGAGTCTTTGAACTTTCTAATGCGTCATGAAGTTTAATTATGCAATCAGTAAAATCATAAAATTGTTTTTTTAAATGATAGCTATCACAATATTGCAGTATTAAACCAATATTTTTAATGAAAATTTCCATAACATTTGTATATCTACAGATAAGTAATTCATTAATAGCATCATATATTCTAGTCAAATTATCGAAATTTAGATGTAGACTTAAGTTTTCAATAAAGTTTGGAATGGAATCTGAATTTACCATTAAACCGTCTGTTAAGTGTTGCATTGAAGAATCTTCGCCTGGAAATCGAATATAATTGATTACTTCAAATAAATATTCAGTATATTCGTTTTCATCCGCGAGTCTATAGCCAGTTGTATCGATTTGATTTATCCAAAATATAAAAAAAGTAAAATAGTATATTTTTATGAACATTTTTTAGTGAATTGAAAATATAGAAAACAAAATTTGGAATAACTTATTTGTAAGATTAATATTAGTTAGAATATATACATATTTTATACATTTAAAGATGAATATTTGACTGAAGTTTAGTTTATTTTATCTACTATTTGCAAAGTTGTTTTTAAAATTAAAATATTTGTTTAAGTGTTTTTGGAATAGTTCTAGATTATTGCGAGTTAACATTCTATTTTAAAATTCCGTCACATACACAAAATTATACAGTTATTTTAAGTTAAATAATTTGAGAATGAACATTCTTAAATAATTTTACAACCAGCAATTTAATTATTAATAAGCTGTGTTTAATTATTAATATTTGCTCAATTTATAATAATATAATTGCAGTATGAATGAATTAAAAATTCTTTAAAAAACAAATCATATTTTTAAGTATTTTAATTGCAAGGTTTCAGCCAAACCACAGGGCCCACTAATTACCTACTAGTTAGGAAAACATTATAGAGTGACCTAATAGCCGAGCCAAGCGAGAATAGTTCTTATTAACGGAGCTACTAGGTTTTGAGTTTAAAAAAAAACAAATATTAATGTAATGAAGGTTTAAAGAGTAAAATGAGAAAAACAAAGGTCCATATATAATACAATAACATTTTTTTATTAATTATTTAAAATTTATATTTATATATATGTAATTTATAAAAACAGAGGACCAAAAAACTAAAAACGAACGTGATTTTTGGCATCTTTTTGTGCCCGTTGGTGAAGACGCTAACTGGTGGTAGTGCTAACTTCGAACAAGTTCATTGGGGGAAATACAACAATATTGGTACAGTTGCATAGAGTACGGTCAGCTGGTAGTGGCGGGGGTCGCCACAGTGGCATAGTTGGGACAAGTATAGATCATAAGGAACGCTTTGATGCTAATCTGTAAATATTGTTTAATTTTAAAAAATTGGTGGATTATTCAAAAATTAAAAGGAACTCTAATTTACTTATTTATATACTGATTAGTAGTTCTTAGATTTAAAAGTATAATTAATGAATTAATATTTATTATAGCAATTAAATAGAGTATGAAATTGATATTTAATAATTTAGTATTGTAATTTTTATAGTGAAATTATAAAAAATTATAAAGTAGGTATTACTTCTATGNTTTTATAGTGAAATTATAAAAAATTATAAAGTAGGTATTACTTCTATGGCAAACATGTATAAAAGTTAAAGTGCTTGATGCAATACCTAAAAAAAAAAATTGTTTGTTATTGATAAATAAATTTATTGGTCTACAATGATTTTTCATCAGAGACCAAAATATACTTTTCTAAACCCATTTTCGTGCCTATTTCAAAAATGCAATTAAAATTTCCCATATTGACTAAATAATAATGTTCAAAATACTGAAATAAGCTGGAGTTGTAATCATGGAAGGTTAGCTGCTATATAAATTGTATAAAATGTAATAACAATCATAAAAGAGGTAGATATTCAAAAAGAGTCCAAAATAATGAATGGTGTTTGATAGGAATGAACTGATATTATCAAATTTAATATTTAATGTATCTTAATATTTAAGACACCCTAGATATTATTAGAAAGAAGACACAGCTAAGAATAAAAGTGTTTTTTAAATTTGTAATTTTGTTGGAGGTCACCCCATTTACGGGGAACAAGGCAAATTTTTTCATTTTTGAGGATAATGTCTTTGTCTAGATACGATTTGTGATCTATTGACGTATCATTGAATGAAATCGGTTCGGTGAGAGCTGAGAAAAAGTGGTAATAGACACACAAAAAAAAAAAAATAGTAAAACCAATACCTTCTCAGCTTTGCATCGAAGCTAATATTTTTATAGAATTTATTTTATAAAACATTTTTTAGTTTCTTTTATATATATATATTTTTCTTAATTTATGAAATCTAAAGTATTTTTCAAATTCATAAGGATGTTAATTTTGTTTTTTTAAATAAGAATATATATAATCAATTTTCTCAGTTCATAAATAATAATCTAATCAGCAAAAAAACTGATCGATAATGACTTTGGGGCAAGCATTTCCGAAGTAGTTGAACTTTTTATGCCATAGAGAAAGGTAGAGTACCTTATAATTCTCAAATATTAATCAATACTAATTGAAAGAATGCTTCAATATCATTTAACTGAATCCCGACTGTACATTAATTTTTAACTTAATCATGAAAATAGTGCTTAAATAGTTACAGTTAAAAGTCAAAAGCTATTAAATAAATTATATTGCCTTTAATTTCAGTTTCCACTGCAGAACTCTTCTGAAACTGAACAAACCCAATAATTAGTTACGCATCAAAGCTAAAAATATGCGTTTTTTAAAAATGAAAAATTGTTTAAAAAAATATTCTTGTAAAATGATTATTAAACCAAATTTGTCAGTTAGATCTGTATAATTTGTTATTTTTTTAGTATTTTTAAACTACATAAAAAAAAAATATATATATTTTATATAAATAATTACTATAAACCAATGTCAGAAGTGAATAAAAAAGAATATAAATCATGAATATATATTATTGAATTTGAATTGTTAAGTCTTATTTAATAATTAAGGTGTTGAAAATAGAGAAAACCAAGACTAAAAAATTCAAATTGACCAAAAATAGTAAATCTAAAATCTGTATAGAATTGGTTATCGTGGAACACACGGAATACAATTGTCTTAAGTTCACGGTTGTCAATAAATGGTTTTCTCCTTTTAAAAATGTATTCTCTTATGACTAAAAATCTACTTATTTATTTAAATTATATTTTTTTACAAAGATTCTTTAAAATTGCAAAATAAAAATAAAAATTATTTTTGAATCTCTATGTGCAATGAAAAAATGTGTGGACCAAAAATTCAAATCTAGTCTCTAAATGATACCTAAATTTAGATATTCTATTATTATAGATATTATTAAAATCACTATAATAAAAAACGTTTCCATGCAAATCTGTAGATAGTGTTTAATTCTAAGAAATTGGTGGATTATTCCAAAAGCAACATCAACCCTTATTTCTTTAATCATATCTTGATTAGTAGTTCTTTGATTTTAAAATATAATATATGATTAAATACTAATTATAATTATTAAATTTAGCATGTAATTGATATTCAATAATTTAATATTGTAATTTATACGGAGAAATTATAAAAATAATAAAGAAGTAATATTTTGCTTTACTTTTACGTGTATAAAAATTTAAAAGGCTTGATACAACATTTTTCAATAAAAACTATTTGTTACTATAAATAAATGCACAGGACACAAGGAGCTTTCATCAGAGGTAAAAATATACTTTTCTAAATCAACTTTTCGCATTGTTTTCAAATCTGCAAGTAGACTATTTCTATAACTGATGTGATTTTTTTTGTGTCTGTTACCACTTTTTCTCAGCTGTTTCTGAACAGATTTCTTTCAATAATGCGTCAAAAGATCACAAATCGTATCTAATCGAAGACATTACCCTCAAAAATTGAAAAAATTTTCTTCGTTCCCCGTAAATGGGGGAAATCACCAAAAAAATTACAAATTTAAAAATCGCTAATTTTCGAAATTTTTTCAATTTTTTTTACTAAAAACTGTTATAACTTTTTCAAAAATGAACACATTAACATAAGTTTTTTTATGCTAAAACCTTAGATATTTCCCTTTCATGTTATATCATTTTTTTGAAAATCTAACACTTAACCTGCTGATTGGGAGGATTTAAAATAGCAACTTTTTTACAAAAACTAACTTTTTCAACTTAATTTTTGAAAATGTTCCAATACTGCGTCCTTCAAACATATATCAAATTAAAGCTTAATTTATGTACTATAAAATAAAAAAAAAAATTTGTCCTGACGACCTATCTTCTATGCGCAAATGGCTATCGTATCCAAAAATATGCTATTTTAACAAATTTTTTTTTTTTAATTAAACACTATCTACAGATTTGCATCGAAGCGTTTTTTATGATAGTGATTTTAATCACTGTCAGATATCATCTATACTGGACTCAATGATGATACGACCCCACTGTGCTGGGTTTTTTTATATTATTATTCAATACATATAAAATAATAATTAAAATAAAATAAAATTGTTTTACAAATTATTACTGATTTGATTTTTAATATGTTAAAAATAATCAGTTCAAATTTTCATTTTTAACCTATTTTTTTGATCCTTTAAAGTTGATGAAAAGTATTTGTGAAATTTTTGTGATATTTTATAGTAAAAAAAATTGAATATGTTACAATAACTTTTAACTCAATTACAAGTTTGAAATTGAAATATTAAATAGAAAATTTTATAAGAATTAAAACAATGCTATTTTTAAGATTGATATGTAGTCAGGAAATTTTATAATTACTATTTATAGTATATTTGTCATAAAAACTCATTATTTTTTTGCATTTTTATCGTAATAGAACACTTAAATAGAAATCATAGTAATCAATTCTAAGTAACTTTTGATATTTAAAAAGATTCTACAATTGAAATATCCAGAACTGAATTAATTTTAATGATTTACTTTAAAAACTTTTAACTAAAAATAAAAATTTATCATTTTGAATCCCTTTTGTGAGCGGGTGAGGGTTAGATTTATAAAAAAAAAAAAAACCAAATGATAGTTAAAGACATGCATCTATATAAAAAAAAAATTATACTGATTTGGTAATTTTTGATAAAGTTTAACAGTTAACAAAATTATAAGTTTTATACACTGGACTACAAGGAACTATCATCAGAAACAAAAAATACTTTATTAAATTAATTTTTTGCGATTTCAAATGTGCAATTAGGCTCTTTCTATCACTTCTAAGTTTTAATATTATTAAAAAATAGTATTTGCTTTGTTATAATACATACACCACTCATTATTCAGTAGTATATATGTTATTACCTATTAGTCATCAAATTAAAAATATTATTCATGTTAATACTTTAAACTTTTCCAAGAAATATGTCTAAAAATACATTGATATAAATCTACTGTAATAATTATAAGAAATTCTTTAGTTNTTTCCAAGAAATATGTCTAAAAGT